CCCACCCTCTGGAACGAACTACCCCCAGAGATCCGGGTGATCCCGGATCTCCCCTCCTTCCGCCGCGCCCTAAAGACATGGCTTTTCCAACAAGCGGGATTGGCCTAGGGAATTTTAGTGGGGTTTTTAAGGGAAATTTTAATTATTAGGCCATTACAAATATTTCCTTTTAATCTGGTTTTAATTTGATATTTATTGTAATATTGGTTTTATAAGGCTGTCAGCCGCCCTGAGTCCGGTAAGGAGAAGGGCGGGATACAAATCAAATAAAATAAAATAAAAATAAATAAAATAAATCACTTTGGATATAGGAAACATTTAAAAGAGCTAAGGCATAGCAGAAATGGAAGGTTTCCAGCTGAGCATTTTAATTCTCCCTTTCTAAATGTAACAAGATTCTTGCGTACTGCAAGCCAGCCGTTTCTTCCGTGGTGGGTTGAATGTAAATGACCTTTGTAAGTACTTTTGCGTGCGTTTTCAGGGCTGGAAAACGATGACAAAGAGCAAACCAAACCTCTGGACGTGCAGGACTTCAGTGCCCAGCATTTCAGCCAAGACTACCCAGTGGGTGCTTTGGCTGGAAGTCTGGAAGTGAATAGCCAGCCCATTTGTGAGAGGGGCTAGTTAAACAAGGCTGGCGAAAAAGAGTTATTTTTTGCTCCGCCACAAACTAGGAAAAGATTCCAGCCTTCCTATTTATACGCACAGAGATCCTAGATTTCTGCAAAGCACCTTCCATCATCGCTACCTTTTCCCTGTGTGCCTTTTCCACAAGTGATTCTACTGGGAAAAAATGAGCAGCTAGGATGATGATGGGGATGATAGCAATAGCAAATAGCACTTAAACTTATATACCGCTTTACAGCCCTCTCTAAGCGGTTTACAGAGTCAGCATCTTGGCCCCAACAATCTGGGTCCTCATTTTACTGACCTCGGATGGATGGAAGGCTGAGTCAATAGCAATAGCACTTAGACTTATATACCGCTTCACAGGGCTTTACAGCCCTCTCTAAGCGGTTTACAGAGTCAGCCTGTTGCCCCCAATAATCTGAGTCCTCATTTTGTCCACTTTGGAAGGATGGAAGGATGAGTCAACCTTGAGCTGGTCAGGATTGAACCGCTGGCAGTTGGCAGAATTAGCCTGCAATTCTGCATTCTAACCTCTGCACCACCACGGCTCTTGACGGTGATAAACAGATCTACAAGTATCAAGATCTGAAAACCAAAATTGTAGGATTATGGCATAAACCGGCTCTGGTGATCTCCGTGGTTATCGGTACGCTGGATGCCAGACCAAAGAAGTCTTGGACAGCAAGTTAGAAAATCTGGGCGTTGACAGAATTTCCATCTGTCAATTGCAAAAGGCCACACGGCTTGGATCCACTCCTTTACCACGCCAACATATTGCAGGCTCTTGGGAAGAAGGCCCATACCAGCAAAAGGACTGGCAGCTGTGATTTCGCATTGCTGTGCNCGGTACGCTGGATGCCAGACCAAAGAAGTCTTGGACAGCAAGTTAGAAAATCTGGGCGTTGACAGAATTTCCATCTGTCAATTGCAAAAGGCCACACGGCTTGGATCCACTCCTTTACCACGCCAACATATTGCAGGCTCTTGGGAAGAAGGCCCATACCAGCAAAAGGACTGGCAGCTGTGATTTCGCATTGCTGTGCGCAGATAATAATAATTTATTAAACTCTCATTGCCACCCGACTCTCAGCCGCTCTGGGCAGCTCGCGACAAGGAAAGCACCATAAAAATCAGTAATGTATTTTGCTCAAAAGAGATCGCCGTCTTTGTCCCCTTGAGCAGAAGCTCCTATTCAGATGAAAGGGGCAATAGGATCTAGGTGGCATGTCAAGAGTAGCAGCCATTATACTCTCTGGTTCATCGCCTAACACGTTTCTTTCTCTCTCCCTGTCCAGAAAGCAGCTAAAAAGGGCGTGCACCACGTACGAGTTGTTGTGAAAGGCCTGGGACCTGGGCGGTTGGTAAGCACCTCCTGTTTCTTTGTATTCATTCTGTTGGAGGGAAGGGAGCCTTTACTGTAGTGGTTCTCAACCTTTTTAATGCCGCGATCCCAACCAGTCGTACGTCGAGGACTAAACCGGTCGTAAGTCGAGGACTAAACCGGTCGTAAGTCGAGGACTACCCAACCGGTCGTAAGTCAAGGACTTTCCCTGCCAGGGAGCACCGCACATGCGTGGTTCCGCCCCCTGCGCCGGCCGAGGCGTAGCTGGCAAGCAGCAGAGACGGAGCAGGCCGACCACCAGCTGGCCCAGCCCAAGGGAGGCAAGGCACCCGCCTGAAAAGGGGGAAAAAATGGCGGACAAAAAAAATGGCGGACAAAAAAAATGGCGGACAGCCTTGCTTGGCGACCCCCATGAAATGGTTGATCGACCCCAAATGGGGTCCCGACCCACAGGTTGAGAACCACTGCTTTACTGGCTGACTCCTGCCTTTATCGAGGGCCACCGTGGTGGAGGGATGTCCCTTAAGTGGAATCAAGCGAGCTGAGGAAGACACCAATTACAAGCCCTGGAAACCTATTCTCAATTTCAAACGCCCTTCCCCATCTGCTGTCCTCCAGCTGTGTTTGTCCAGAAGGCCAAAACTTTCTCAACAACATTTATTTATTATTTATTTATTATTTTAATTTGTATACCGCCCTTCTCCCATAGGACTCAGGGCGGTTCACAGCATGGCGTTCCCCATGCTGGCAGGGGCGGTGGAAATCGAAATCCATCTCATCCCGAGGACCAGCAGTTTGGAAATGGCTGCCGGAGTTCATCAGGCTTGGCAGCTCCTTGGCTATGAAGGAGAAAAATTAATTGAAGGGCTGCTAATGGAGCACTTGTCTGCAACTTCTTAAAGCAGCTACATCTCTTTCTCCCCCCCCCCCCCCAGTTTGCGTGGCCACTCTCTGCAGTGGCCGCATAATCCTGGGAGAAGCTCTCTTTCATATAAGACAAATTTGGTTTAAGGATCTGCAGAGGAGTGTATGTAGCACGTACACCTCCGCCTTCCACTTTTGGAATCTGAAGAGCCAGTAGGTAACGCTCCACAAGATTACTACAAGATCACGCGAAGTGTTAATACCACTTTACAAGGCCTTGGTAGGGCCACACTTGGAATACTGCATCCAGTTTTGGTCACCACGATGTAAAAAAGATGTTGAGACTCTAGAAAGAGTACAGAGAAGAACAACAAAGATGATCAGGGGACTGGAGGCTAAAGCATATAAGGAACAGTTGCTGGAATTGGGTAGGTCTAGTTTAACAAAGAGAAGGACGAGGGGGGACATGATAGCAGTCTTCCAATATCTCAGGGGCTGCCCCAAAGAAGAGGGAGTCAGGCTATTCTCCAAAGCGCCTGAAGGCAGGACAAGAAGCAACGGATGGAAACTAACCAAGGAGAGAAGCAACCTAGAACTAAGGAGAAACTTCCTGACAGTTAGAACAATTAACCAGTGGAACAACCTGCCTCCAGAAGCGGTGAATGCTTCAATACTAGAAGTTTTTAAGAAGAGACTGGACAGCCATTTGTCCGAGATGGTGTAGGGTTTCCTGCCTGAACAGGGGGTTGGACTAGATGACCTCTAAGGTCCCTTCCAACATTATTACTATTATTATTATTATTATTATTATTATTTATTATTATTATTATTATTTATTATTATTATTATTATTAACCAATTGCTTCCTAAATATAAGGCACCCTCCTTTGATTTCTAAATTGTTTTGTAATTTTAAGAGAGAGAGAGACAGGGAGAGAGAAATACAATTCTGTTGCCCACGAAAGGTAAGATGCTGAATCCGAGCCATCATCAAGCAGGGTAGATGCTGAAACTCTCCGAAGCCCCCTAAAGTCTTGGCAAAGACAACAGCGAGTTCTCAAAAGCTCTCTGTCTCGTTCAGAAAGCTTGCGCTGGCTTCCCACATTCCACGAAGCTCTCGTCTAGCTGGCGCGAGCCAGGCTAATTGCATGTGGCAGAGCCAAGGCTTAGAGCTTTGCAGCAGCTTATCCAAAGCTAAGCAGCAGCAGTTTTATCCTGGAAGCTGTGCTTCAACAAACCGTGACTTAGCATTCCATGAGCCCTGGGTTGATATCTCTCTTTCCCTTGCAGGCCGCCATCCAGGGCTTAGCCTTAGGGGGGCTGGAAGTGATCTCCATCACGGACAACACTCCGGTACCGCACAACGGCTGCCGTCCTCGGAAAGCGCGAAGGCTCTGAGGAATGGAAGCAGGAGAGAGAGCGAGAGAAAGAAGAGATTCTGACTGCTTCTCCAATAGCTTGGGTGGCCATCTTCAGGCAGCTGTTCATCTTTCTGCAACTTTCAGACGAGAACTAAAGATAGGCTTGGGGCTTTGCCCACAGGAAGGCAAGCCAGAGACTATGTTGATAAAGTGTGAATGTTAAAAAAAAAAAAATGTTACCTCCACCTCACAAGAGGCTTATTGAATTACATTTTTGCTTGGGGCTGCTTTCCGTTTTTTTTTTGTGATACACAGAATGGTTTTTTTTTTTAGCATCCTTTTTTAACCAGATCCAGGCTGGTTGCGATGAGCAGGTCTTTTTCCAGTTTGTTGTTGGTGTTAGTTGCGAAGTCGTGTTCGACCCATCGGGACCCCATGGACAACGTTCCTCCAGGCCAGTGGTTCTCAACCTGTGGGTCGGGACCCCATTTGGGGTCGATCGACCATTTCATGGGGGTTGCCAAGCAAGGCTGTCCGCCATTTTTTTTTGTCCGCCATTTTTTCCCCCTTTTCCGGCAGGTGCCTTACCTCCCTTGGGCTGGGCCAGCTGGTGGTCGGCCTGCTCCGTCTCTGCCACTTGCCAGCTACGCCTCGGCCGGCGCCGGGGGCGGAAGCACGCATGCACGGCGCTCCCAGGCAGGGAAAGTCCTCGACTTACGACTGGTTGGGTAGTCCTCGACTTACGACCGGTTTAGTCCTTGACTTACTACCGGTTTAGTCCTCGACTTACTACCGGTTTAGTCCTCGACTTACGACTGGTTGGGGTCGCGGCATTAAAAAGGTTGAGAACCACTGCTCCAGGCCTTCCTGTCCTCTACCATCTTCTGGAGTCCATTTAAGCTCAGGCCTCCTGCTTCAGTGACTCCATCCAGCCCCCTCATTCTCTGTTGTCCCCTTCTTCTCTTGCCCTCCATCTTTCCCAGCATCAGGCTCTTCTCCAGTGAGTCCTCCCTTCTCATTTCTCATTAGGTGGCCAAAGTACTTGAGTTTCGACTTCAGGATCTGGCCTTCTAAAGAGCAGTCAGGGTTGATCTCCTCTAGGACTGACCGGTTTGAACGCCTTGCAGTCCAGGGGACTCGCAGGAGTCTTCTCCAGCGCCATAGTTCAAAGGCCTCCATTCTTTGGCGCTCAGCCTTTCTTATGGTCCAACTTTCACAGCCATACCTTGCAACTGGGAAAACCATGGCCTTGACTATACACACTTTTGTTGGCAGGGTGATGTTGCAAAGGGTCAGTTGGAAACCCCTTTCCACCACCTATAGAATTCCTCACTCTGCCATTTGGGAATTCAACTCCATGTCTCTTATATGAAGAGTTCACAGATCTACATGCCAGGGGGTAATATTTATTGCTCAACGGCAAGTACAGAGATCTCATCTCTACTGGAATTTCTTTACTAGTCAGTCAGGAAAAAGCAAGGTCTCCAGAGCAGTTCAGTAGGAAGAACGAAAAAGGATTGTCAGCAAGCCAACATTAGTGAATATCTTTCATTCCGGACCTTATAACTCAGGGCTTCCCAAATCTCAGCAAATTATCCAAAATTGGGCAAAAGTATATTTTTTTTCTTTGACAAATGAAACCCATTACCCAATCAAAACGGGGTCGTTTAAATTCACTTAAAGATTGCCAGCTGTACTAAAATATACTCCCAAATCTCCTGCAATCCTTTTTTAAGATGAAAATTTATGGAATGACCGATAGCCGTTTGTTGATATTACATCGAGATCATTCAATGATAACGTTTTTATAATACAGGCAATTCTCGAGTTAGGACCGTTTGTTCAGCGACGGTTTGAAATTACAACAGCCCTGAAGGAAGAGACTTAACTGGTTCTTGAATTTCAGTAAGACTTTCTGATTAGTGGTTTTGGGTAATTAAGGGAAAAGGTTGGTGAGCATTGTTCTAGCCCAGGGGTCTTCAAACTTGGCCCTTTTATGACTGGCACGCTGGCTGAGGAATTCTGGGTGTTGAAGTCCACAAGTCATAAAAGGGCCAAGTTTAAAGACCCCTGTTCTAGCCAATTTATTCCGGCAGTTTCTTACAATCAAAAGAAGTCTACTTTTTATATCTCTGTAGTATGTTCCAGAGACGGTTTTCACCCTCAGTGGCAAAGCTACAGATGGCTGATGACTCGACATGAACACATCAGGGATTACTCTGGGGAAGCAATGATGGGGGGACTTGAAAGAAAGCAGGGCTCTTTTATCTTACTCAGTTCACACAACATACAGCTGGGATCCCCAGTGCCTCAGTGGAAAGCTGGCAAGAGTCAGCCTCGTGATTGCCAAGAATCTCTCTCGCTCTGCTGCCATTTTAGAAAAGTAATGATAGTTCATCTCACACAATACAGTCATAAACTGGCTTGTATAACCCAAGAAAGCTTGTTCTGCTTTCGCTTAATGCAGAGAGTCCGAACCCAACGGACTGTAGCTCATCCAATAAGCCACAGTTTAAACAAGCCATAGCCAAGATCCAAGAGAGTAACTCTGCTGAAGGATACTAGCTGTTGGCTTGTCTCCTGCAAAACCCAACGAGCAGCATTGGAACATCCCCAAATTTCTGCTGCAAAGGAGTCACAACCTGGGACAGCAAGTCAATCTTAAAACAGCCTGCATCCCCAAAGTCACTTCCCAGCCTGGCCGAGTCAAGCGTTAACTGCTGAGAAGGTTGGCAAATTAGGCCAGCCATCCCGGAAAGAACCAAGGAACGAGATGCTTGAAGTTAGCAAGCATGCTTTGTTCTTAGCCGGGAGCACTAACGTACGGTACCGTACATTCTTCCTTTTGGTCCAGCTGTCAGAACTAGAAGAGTGTGTGATGTCTGCCTTCCCCTCTCTCTCTCTCCCTCCCTTTTGATTCCATTATTCCCCTTTTGGGAGGGGCTGGGGGGGCTCCTCTGGTTTCTAATGTTGTAATCAACTCTGCTCTTCTTTAAAAGAAAAGGGCACCATAGCAACCAGACAGCTTTCCTCTTTTTTCTTTTTTTTTAACTCCTTCCTGGCTCGGTTATGTAATAAAGCGGGATTCTTGTTTCTTTCTCCCTTCGCCCCCCGCCGCCCCAAAAAAAAACCCCAGCTTTTGCTTCCAATGCTTTTAGACATTCAAACCGTTTTCCCAAACGAGATTTGGATAAATGTTTCCCTCTCTTAAGCGAAGGGAGCAAAATCAGGCTTAGGATGGCGCCAGGGACCGTGGACGACTAAGGCGCCTTACGGAAAGCCTGTACAGTGGGAGACGGCCAGCTAGAGGCGGGAACGCACCCTTGCACGTACACACACAATTACAGTGATTATTCCGCTAACAATTTGAAATGCACAGTGTGTGGGAAGGCTGGTTAGAGTTCCATTTACCTCTCAACAATAAGGGAAACGGGGAATAATTTTGCAGTGGAGTTAAATTGTCGCAGGTATCATAGCCCTTCAGTTTTTAATTTACAGGGTCTTTTTTTAAAAAGCGCGTGAGATTAATCATCTTGATTGGATGTAGGCTTTTCCCCCCCTCCTCCCACCCTTCCCGTGAAAATTTTTTAGCTGCATTTTGCTAAGCGCCGCTATCAAAAGCGATGGCAGCTTCTCCCTAAGGTGGACAACGTTATGGAAGGAAACATGGAACCCAGAAGATAAACAGGTCTCTGCTTTCAAGATCGTTGGGGTATCTCACTCATAGAATCATAGAATGATAAGGCTGGAAGGGACCTTGGAGGTCTTATATCCCAACCCCCTGCAAGGTAGGAGTCCTATCATCACGGACAGAGGGCTCCCCATTGTTTTCTTGAAAACTTCCAGCAATGGGGCACCCACAACTCGGAAGCAAATTCTTCCATTGATCAACTGTTCTCGTTCGGAAATTCCTCCTAAGCATTCGATGTGATAAAGCAGGGGTCTTCAAACTTGTCCCTTTTATGACTTGTGGACTTCCAACTCCCAGAATTCCTCAGCCAGGCACGCTGGACTTCCAACTCCTAGAATTCCTCAGCCAGGCACGCGTGCCTGGCTGAGGAATTCTGGGAGTTGGAAGTCCACAAGTCATAAAAGGGCCAAGTTTGAAGACCCCTGTAATAAAGCACATGACTGGAGTTTAGGAGCTGATGCCTTATGGTAGGTGATGTTAATTTCACTTTTGATGCCAATAATGTCCATGTAGGCTAAAGCAACTATTCGGAGTTCCTGGTGTCCTTGGAAAGACCCATGGAATTAGCCCTAAGCTGTATGATGAATTCACACTGCCCAGCCTATACTGTGTTTTTTCTATGTATTCATACCATATTCAGAATTAGGGGGAATTGATTTAGACATTGGTGTGTGTACTTTCATCCTTTAACACATCTATGGTGTGAGCTGAACTGTGGATCATTAAGCAGCTAAGCATCATAGATTGTAAGAGCATTGCTGGATTAGAATAGGATAGAGCTGGAAGGGATCTTGGAGGTCTTCTAGTCCAGCCCCCTGCTCATGCAGGAAAACCTGTACCATCTCAGACAGGTGATTGTCTAGTCTCTTAAAAATCTCCAGTGATGGAGCACCCATGATTTCTGGAGGTAAGCTGTTCCACTGGTTAATTGTCCTCATTGTCAGGAAGTTTTCCCTTAATTCCAAGTTGCTTCTCCAAGTTTTAAGAGTGCTTGACCTAGAGATAGTATATTTTATTTGTTTGTTTATTTAGCTTGCTTGCTTAACTACTTATTTATATTTCCCATTTCTAAAGGGCCCATCTCCCCGGGTCTCCTGTTTCAAATCCACACCATTCGAATAAAATCTATACAGCTGTAAAAATTAGTCTAGAAAACCTGACTTGCTACTACAAGGAGCACGATTCCCCTTCCCCCAGCCCCCATCCCACTGGCACAATCTGGTCCCGGTGTTTTTCTGGATCTATGTTTGATTTGCACTTAAAATCCACCTAGCCTGGAAGCAGTAGCTTTTTATTTTGCCAGTTGCCCATTAGGTCACGGAAAGGGAACATCTCGACATGTTTTGTTTCTTTGCTCAATCCTGCAGTTCAGCATAACCTTTAGAAGGATTTGCAAACAAACTCCCATCAGTGTAAACAACACAGAGAGAGAGAGACTACCTACTATAGAAGATTGGGTAGTTAAAGTCTCAAACTTAGTTGAAATGGCCAAGATTTCCGCTTATGTGAAGGATTACTCACAAGAAAGATATATCTTGGTTTG